AGTACAGACTTTGAAAACTAGTTTATTATTTTTTGTTATTTTATTTTTTTTAAACAAAAAAAACTTTATTTACAATTAAAAATATTGTAAAAAATGTAAAAAAAATTTTGCTTATTAAATTTTTTAATGGACAACAACAATACGAACGTTAATCCACATCAAGTCAAATTAATTGTATTTATTTTGATAATTCAACATGTACATACTTAACAAAATTTAATATTGTAAATAATAAAATACTATTTAAAAAGCTATAATATTTTGAATTAGAATAACAACAATAATACATTCTCTATATAAAACAATATGTAATTATATTAAATTTTTAACTAAACAAACTCCAAACTTATTAACTTATGATTAATTTTTATTAATCATCATTATCATCGTCACAATCGCCGAACCCAAACAAACCAACACTATCTTCGTCTGAGTCGAAATCTTTACCAATATATGAAGAATTGTTTTTTGGTGCTGCATTTGCTTCTTGTAACAATTTTTGGTTCAGTTCATCCCATTGACGTTTCATATGTTCCTGTTCTACTTTTAGATTCATTTCTCTTACCTCAAGTTCCTTTTCTCTTAAATTAAGTTCATGCTCCCTTTTATCCAGTTCTTCTTTTCTTTTTTCTATTTCAATGTTATAAATATTTTCGTCGGTTACACTCGTGACTGTTTTTTGGTCTTCTTCTGTTTTTTTGTTCATCAATTCTAATATTTTATTCTCAAAATTAGCATCTCCAAATTTTAAATTTGTTGGTTTATCATTGTGATTTTCGCCTTGTTTTTGTCGCATCATTTCCATCATTTTTTGTTGAAGATCTTCTTTTTCATATTTTTGATTTTGAGGCTTTGAAATGGTTGGTATAACCTCATCTTCATCTTCTTCATCATCTTGGTCTTTCTTCATCATCATTTCCATCATTTTTTTTTCAAAATCTTCCTTTCCCATTTGCATACCACTTTGTTGTTAAAATGATCCACCAACACTGTTTTCATTACTTCGTCTATTTTTAGTATCAATACCTTCCTCTGGATTTTCGGCACATCTTTGACATGTTTTCTTTCCATCACAGATTGTATAACTGCCCACCAAAGGCTCTCCACAAATTTCACATACAAAGCATTTTTGGTGGAAAGTCCCGACACTGCATTGCACCATTTCCCAATGAGCAATAGGTTTCTTGCATTGATCACATCTTATCACATTTGCTAGTTCTTCACGTGTGAAATAATTGTATTCATTCTCGTTAGTGATATCAGTAACACTTTGAATACTCGCTTCATGGTCACTTCTAATCATCATATTAAACACTGCTCTATTAGGTGCAGACTTACCCGGAAACATGTCAGCTATTATTTTGTACTCTCCGGCTACGACTGTCATATTTTCTCCTTTTACAGTTGGGTTCATATTAAAAGTCTTTCCAGACTCTCCGCCTATTAAATTATCATCCAAATCCAAAGTCCAAGTTCTTAATGCATTCAACTTTTCAATTTTCTGTATTAAAGTTATAACAACTTCGCCTTCCAATTTTGCTCGAATTTCAATTTGATTGTTTTGAATTGCCAAATCTATGGTTTTTATATATTTTAATTTTTCGTTGTAATACACAACATTGATGATTTCAAAATAGTGCACAAAGTCTCCAATTTCCATATAAAAAATACCATCATCTGCGACAACCACATTTAATTCATCTTTCATTTCTTGAGTCCATGAAGAGTCTTCATCACTCCATTTCCCTGTCCACTCGCATTTTCCCCAAGGATTTCGTATTTTAAGCAACTTATGACCATCGACTTCATATGCACCAAGAAGGGTGTATGCATGCTGGGTTAGAAGACCCACTGTTTCTTCTAAATTTAGATCACTTTCAGTCATAATACTTACACACATTGAATACTCTTTATTGTCAAAATCAATAAGTTTTGAAAAAAGAGTGTCCTCATTATATTGTTTCATGTCGATAGAACCAACGGGCATACCCGTTAAATGAAATAAAGCAACAGTTGGCTTGCCACCTTCAATATTGGCATAACTTCCATACAATTTTGCATACGCTTTTTCAATGAGAAGTACCCAAAGCTCATCGCCATTACTATGGGTGAATGCTGGTTTACCGTATATACAAGGAATGATATCATCTATGGTCACAGTTATCTGTTTACCACATGTGTCAAACAAAGAAATTTCATTTTTTCCTTTTCCACATTCTTTAATTAAATCAGTTATACGATGAGGAAATTCGGCAAGTGCAGCAAGAGAGGAAAGAAGGTAACAATCACCTAAAGCACCTTTTTGTTATATGTTCCAAATAAATTAAATAATATAATTTCAAAGTATTGTATTGCATTTTATTATATAAATGTTGATATATTAAAATCAAATAATTTTAATAATTATTGGTTGTTATTATTTATAAAAAGGTATATTTATTTGTTTTTTGTTTGTTTTGCCACAGAAAAACATTTTAATATGTTGCTTCAGTTTTCCGATTCATGTTTTTAAAGATAAACTTATATTATACGTTGAAAAATTACTTCTTTTCATTCAAAAAACAGTGTAAATTAATTTAAGTTTGTTATTACAAAAAAACAGTCGAGAAAATATGGAGTTTATATTTTCAATTTAATATTTATAATTGAAACGTGTATTAAACATAATAATTTGTTTAATTAATTGTTTAATATTTCATTATTTAAATATGTTGATGAATAATTGTTCATTCCGAATGTAGTCGATATTATACCATACCAATATTTTCTGTGTTATTTATTAAAATCATTTTTCATTTCATTTCTAAAAATTTCAGGATATGTAATGTTTAAATAAAATTCCAAATCCTCTGTTGATCCAGGGCATTTTTCTGACAACTTTTTTGCATAACAAGATGCAAAAAGTCCACATGAAATACCGTCTTTTTGTTGTTTAACATTTGCTTTATAATAATTTACATGATTTAATTCAATCAATATTTTGGTAAGTTTTAAAGCTGTTTTTTCTAAGAAAATGTCATACAATTTGGATGTTAGCGAGTTTATTCCCACGATAATTTTATCAGATCCTCTAACAATGTACAACAACATAAAATGCATACCATAGAACACTGGAAATATTACACTTGTAATGTTAGATGAAATGTTATGCCAATTTTCAATAAAATGGGTTTCGTTAAACGGGTGTCCATCAAAGTAAATCCAACTTAACATCGTTATAGGATTTTTCCATTCTATTGTGTTAATTTCATTTATAACATTTCTATAATCTTCTAAAATCCAAGTAGTCAACATTTCATTTGGATTATTTAATATTAAATAAGTGTCTGTGTATTAAATTTTTGTATTTGCCAAAATTACATTTTGTTTTTCTATAGATTTGTTTTCTTTTTGTTTCATTGTTGCAACAACTTCCTCAAACTTGTTATTATTTCTTTCATTGCAATTGTTTAAATTCAATAATTCATAACCACATTTATTGTATTCACTAAAAATGTCATCATTTATACCGTCTTACCAGAACCAGTCTCTACTCAAGCAATCTGTTAAATCACTTCGTATTGAATGATTGGTATTACATTTTTCCGAACTAAAGAAGTTGGTGTATAATTGTGGAATAAATTGACTCACTGTTATTTCGCCTTCTTTTTCATTATCATCAACATAATATGAGTCACTTAAACAATCACAATAATAACTTATATGAGTATTTGTGTTTGAAACTTCAAACTCTCTTGCATCATTTGGAAAGTGTACCTTTCTTTTGCACAATTCCACCCATTTAAAAACATGATTATGGTATGCAAAGGTATCACTTGCCGTTATACTCATCAATCCAGCACAAATAATTTTTTAAATACATGACAACATCTTCGATTATCAAAAGTTGCTGGCACTTTTAAATTATCAAAAAATTGGACTTGTTGAAGAGCTTCCTCAAAATCGATTTTTGAATTCATACACCTTTGAATATAAGATTTCGCTTGGTAAAAACATTTTTCAATTGCTTTTAGTTGTGGAGTATATGGTACATTGTAAGTCACATATATTCCACAACTCTCACACAATTCTTCTATTCCTTTTTTATGAATACCCGCGTTATCCAAAATAAAATTTTCAAAGTTATATTTCGACCATTTATGTACTTGTGGTATAAATACCTTTTTTAGACAATCAAGAAAATCTTCATTTTTTAGTAGTTTCTCTGATTCTAAAAAATAATTTATGTCCCGGTGCCGTCATTGCAATAATCGTGAACGCATTCCCTCTGATGGTAGGAAAAATAATATCACAACTTTCTCCTATTTTAGATTTACCTTGAGTACGTGATAAATTTGTGTCAATACCCGCTTCATCAATATACACAAAAATGAAATTAAAATGTAATAAAATATCCATGTGTTGAGCATAAACATATCGTTGATTAATTCTTAAATCTGTGTTTCTTTGTAATGGTTCTTTTTGTGTTTTTCTTTGAAATGTTGTTTTTACGAATTATTATTTCAACACTACTTCTTGAAATTCTTCTATAAGTTTGGTTGGATCAATACCCAACAAACTTGAAACGTTTTTAAAATGAAAAGCTCTTTCTTTAAAGACTTCTTCAGAAATTTGGAGTGCTGTTTTTTGAGGAAACTTTTCAATTTTATTAATGACCATATATATTGTATCAATATCACTTTTGGTGTTTCCTTCTTTTCTGCCTTTTTAAACCCATTTATTTTGTCGTTCGGACGATTAATTACACGTTTGACATCTCTGGGATATATATCAAATTCAGTAGCCGTTCTTTTTAAATCCCCCCAAATGTCATAATGAGTTTTTATAGAAATGTTATGACAAAATCTATTATATTTTTTAGGAGTTTCAAAAACAAATGGGTAGTTATTTGTTTTTTGTGTTGTTGTTGAAACAAGTTGTTGGGGACCTGATATTTTTTTCGATATAAACAGCTTTTTGTCTTGTTTTGAAATCTTTAAATAGTGCATCTTGAAAATGAAAATGTGCAAGTAAATTTTGACTAAAAAGGTGTGAGTTCAATAATATGGAATCGGAAGTAATTAATAGAGTAAATATGTTATTATAATCGATGACTTGACTAATATTTTCAACCATTATTGGTGGTAATACATTTTTATCAAAATTAGAAGGTGTAATATTGGTTTGTTTGAAATTGAAT